CGATTGGAAAAAAACAAAGGGCGGTCAAGCTAAGACCTGGCACGAGGGTACGAAAACCCTAACCAGGAGTCTGGGTCACATAGGCCCTGTTAGGCTCCCTGGCTGGGGACCTCGGGATGATGGTCACCGATGGTTAGCTACACTGAGTGATATGGCTGGATGTCGCAAACAGTGGCGCTCGTGCATCCACTCGTTATTTTTCTAACACCACTCTATATGTATTCTCCATCTTCTGCTTGAATTTGCTTCGACAATCCAATCTTCATTTCGCTATTTTATCCAAATGGGTAACCAAAAGACAGCAACCAAAACCAGTGCACGAAAGTGCATGGTTAATGGTTGTAAAAACTGAAACTGAAACTTAATGGAAACAAGAAAGCTGTCAGAATTTGTTTCTTGGATTACAGTGACGTCTTGAATTGTGTCGACAGGTCTATGCTGTTAAATATTTTGTCTTCAAACGGAATATCGCAAACCATTACTGTAGTACTCGCTAATTATTTCATAAATCGATCACAGTTCCCACGTTACCTTTGTCGTTCCTCCTCTTCTTTAATTTCTACATTATGCGTATTACACGGTGTCCTTCTATCCCCGTTTTTCTTCTCCACTTATATTTCATCCATGCCTACTTTACAAAATTCCCTGCTCATTAAATATGCGGACGAAGTTGTGATCGGAATCGCCCATCCTGATGCAGCCGTCACCCCCACCCTCCAACTTGGCCTTACTAACCTTGCTGAGCGGTTCACTGAGCATAACCTAATTTTCAATCCCTCTAAATGTGTAGACATGCTGATCTCACTTCACAGAGGGAATTGTTATGCCAGTCTCCTGGAATCCTGTCCAACGTCAAACATATACGATGATATTACTGTCCAACCCACAAATATCAAGTATCTTGATGTGTTAATTAACCGAAACGTATGCTGATCTGACCAAGTTGTTTCTGTATTGGGAAAGGTCAGGAAACTATCATTTTATCTCTTACGACTGAAAACAATATCTGTCCCTCGCTTTTGATTAAACATTTTCTTTTTGCCTGTGATCTACCCCTATGGTTGTACGGATCCCTAAGAATCTTTCCAGGATGCTCAAGAAGGACGTTAAATTGCTTTCCAGATTATTACCAAATTTATCAAGAAATAGCGGGATTTCCCGTGAGACTATCTGTCACTTCATCATTTCCCAAAGTCATTCTTCTCGTTATCAACAAAAATCATAGATAACCCTTCACATCCGTTACATCAAGATCTCATTAAGTGTGTATCCTCCTCTTCCACCCGGTCCCGCTTTAATTGTATATTTACTCGTACGACCGCCTATCGGTCTTCTGTGGTGCCCTACCTTGCTCGATTTCTTGTTAGCCCAGAACGCATCGCTTCGGAACTTAACTCCGTCATCTCGTAAATTGTTTTCTTTTTCATTGATTACGACAATTCTGTTATAATTTTGTTCGATAATTACTGGTTGACTATGTGACTGCTGAATATCCACCTTTCTGGGTGCATACAGCAAATACTTGACTTGACTTGAAACTTCAAAACCAAGTGGACTGTTTTGATTATAGCGAATTTGATGAAGTTCCAAATAAAAAGACTTGTTTCATTTCATGTGGAATTGAACGCAGATAAAGGCAGGGATTTTAATCGAAGCCGTCAAAATGGCCGAGAATCGGATAACTTATTTGCTTGAAAGAAGCTTACTGAGCTCTGAGGATTCCAATGTACTCTTACCCGTTCTAATTCGGTACGCACTCGATCCAGTGGCATCTGGTCGGCAGATTGGGTTGTATGTGAAATGAGTAGTGCTTTCTGTTTCAATTCTTGCAACAATCGAGCATGTAGTCGTTTGAATTCTGTGATATCTTTGAGCAACAGTACCAGTGAGTTGTGACGTTCAGTGGCCACATTAATGGCCGTCGCCCATTGTCGCTCAATGCCAGTGACGGCCGCACGTATTTCAGCAGCACCGTTTGCATAATCCCGATTGCGCAGTATCGCAAGGGCCTGTTCACGAAACTCGTCCAGTCCAGTCATTCCAGCGCTAATTTCATCATGTATTCTAGAGACATGATCAGTAAATGAAACATAGAAGAAGTGGTGAACTAACAATGGAAGTATTCGTTTCAATTTCTAACATCAGAAAGTGAACTTGCAAAATACACACGAAAAGCGATAAACTCCAATGGGCAATCAATGATGAATTTTGCAAGAAAGAAACAGCACGACATATATATATATATATATATCAGTGCTGACCTTCTCTTTTTCAATATACATATAATTACAAACTGAGCAGAGACCTACTTTGACAGAATGTTTCGAATGACTGAAATGTTATTGATCACATAATGCTTTCAAAAAAAGTAATCGGAAAATAAATATAAGCGTTAACGCTTATTGCTTCGTTCAAATCTTCTTCCGTTTCCTACTTCGGGCTGATAGATCGAGTGACAGAAGACCGTTATCCGATAACACATTATTTTCTGGGAGCGCACAGACAGAGAGAGAACCACAGTCGTAAAACACGTAAGGCCTCCAGCTTATAAAAGAAGATTGGAGACTGTTGTTGAGGAAAGGGACATGGTAGAAATACTTATCACACACACACACACACAACTCACCGCTGTGCCTGTGCGCTAGCTTCACTCAAGGCCTGTAGTGAAACCAATCGTTCACTCTGACCCACAAGCACTTGAACACGTTTGTCCAACCACTCGATCAAGCTTTGATACTTTTGTTCTAAAGCATGCAAATCCCCGGCTGTGGTCTCCAGTTCTGCCTTACGATCGGTCAGTTTCGTTCCGAACTGAGAGTATCGCTCACGTAAGTCTTCTATCTCATGAGCAACTTCACTCATGACTGTCATTGGGATTGGTACGACCAAAAAAGGGGAAAGAGAAAAAGTTACGATCAAATTCTCAGTAGAAGCGCATAATTTACTACACAAATGATGGGAAAGCATAAACATTCAGAGTAAAGAAAAAATGCCAGTAAAAGAGCGTTTGCGTTGAGGACATTTTGTTCTGAAAAATACAGTAACAAAAAGAAACTATTTCATTATGGATGTGAATGTTTCCA